GGGGCGGTGGAGGGCCTGGGGCCAGAGTCCGAGCCTGGAGCCCACCTGGGCTGGGAGGGGGCAGCGGGGGAGCCTTGCAAAGTTATTGCCCCAGGGCTCGGGCTCGCGCCCCTCGGGGCCACCGGCGCCTCCGCAGCCATAAACATGTTTGTGCAGCAGCCTCGCCCCTCACCACCTCCGGAACCCCTCTCCCAGGCTTAGGAACCTCCTTCGGTCTCTATGCATCCTGCGATCCCACCCCCACGCCCCGCCATTCTCCCCTACTGCCCTAATTGGACCAGCACCTAGACAGCCTCCTCACCCTTCGTTCCATCCCCATCCCACCCCGCGCCACCCCCCCACAGTGATCCTCAAGTCCAGCCCAGCTTGTGGGTGGGCGGAAGCGATTTTTAGCTCCTTGCAGCCTTAAAATATGCTGGACGCAGTTGCGCAGGCGCGGGTGGCGTGGGTCCACTGCACAGAATGGGAAACTGAGGCTTGTTGTGGAGTGCGGGAAAGCTGGGCAAACCTGGGCGTCAAGCGCTCCACCTCAGGCTGGGTGGGGATTCTGAAGCTGAGTAGGGGGTCCTCTGCTCCGTCTTCAGCAGGAGTTTCAGAGGGTTAGTAGGTGTGTGTGAGTGTGTGTGTGTGTGTGTGTGTGTGTGTGAAATGTTGACCTCCAAGTAACTCTCATAGGGGAATTTGGGCCAGGTTTTCCACGGAGGCCAGCAGTGGGTGAAGCACTCGGGACCTCCCTCTATCGCAGCCTCAAGTTCTGTATCAGATAAAGCCAAGTTCTGTATCAGATAAAGCACAATCTCAGGCTGCACCCCCATCCAGTAGAATGGGGAGGGGAGGAGGAGCAGGCCCTTATTCAGTGGATCTTGTCCATCTCTAGGCTCCTCCAATTCAACATCCTGTAATTGAGAGAACTCAAGCTCCCATAACGGCTAGTGCAGCAAGAAAGATGAGGTCAGACTGCAGAAAGGACTTCCCAGGCAGCCTGGATGACGTTGAAGCCAAGGATGAGTTGGAAAGCTGATTTGCTTTCAAACAGCCCAGATGGCTTCTTCTCAGCGCCTGGGCCCCTCTCAGGTCCTCCCTGGGATTCCCTCCCCCAGGCTGGGCTGGAGGGAGGAGGAGGAGAAACTGTTCTTGGAAAAGGGAGGGAGTTGCGGCAAAACTGGTTACTGCAGCAACCTGACCCGGTCCGCGCCGTCGGGTCCCTGGGAAAAGGGCGTAAAGGGGTGGGGCCTGCATGGGGTGTATTCCCGCCTCCCAGGTCTGTGCCTACTCCCATTGGTTCAACACCACTTGAGGGTGCTCCCCCCCACCACCCTTACTCCCCCTCCCTGATCCAGAACGCAGGGCCGCACCTGGATCTTGGAAGATGTGTATGCTTTGTTTGTTTGTTTGTATGTTTGCGGGGACGGGGACGGGGGTGGAGCAGTCCTGACCTTTCTCTGTATATCTCTACCCTCCTGGCCCCAAACTACCTTACCTACGTCTTACAACTCTGCTCAATTCTTCCCTTCTGGCAAAGTTAACCATTTCGCTCCTGGGTACACTCAGGCCCACTAGTCTGGAGCGCCCAGTAGGCCCAGTATTTGGGGTTTATGGAAAGCATAGAATGGGGAAGTTCAACCGCACTTCTGCTTTACCGTCCCTTAGTAATGGGAAAAAGCAAGCAAAATCTGCTGTGGCCGAGGGGGCTCTGCGTTGGAGATGAAAGTTAGGTCTGTCACTCACGCCAGGAATTCGAGTTCTTGACCGCTCCAGTTTGTTTCTTTCCTCCATCCTAGAATGTATGGAGACTCGAGCAGATGGGACCGAGTTTAAAGACTTCTTTAAGTGACGCTTAACGGTCCCCCCGGGCTCATTCTTGAAGGTACCGGTTTTCGGAACTATGTGCCCGGAAAATCCTAGGAGAATACCCATGTCCGTCTGGAGTCCTGGACTCCTTGCCCAGAAAATCCAGGCCTTGATTTTTCTTGGGCCGTTGCGGACGTAGGACTAGTCTGGCCGGCCCAAGCTGCTGCTCATTCACGCCGATTCTGCAAAGATGGGAGGAAAACCTGGTGCGGATTTTTAGACACTCATGACTCAGAAGGGCAAGGCTGAGGACAGGGACGATTTGTCCTTTAACCCTCTCCATACATCTGTTCTCTGTACATGGTAGGAGAAAGTCTTTCTAGAGTTGGCACCCATCTCCTGTCCTGCCAGCAAGTCTATTAACGGTAACTCCTGTTCCTATGGTATAATATGCTCTGAGCAATTAGGAAGTGCTGGGCACCATTCTGAGAGGGTTGCCAGAGGAGACCTCATCTCACAGAATCCTCTTTAGGAGGTATGAACGATTGGAAGGTCATTTGTCAAGGTCACGAGGGGGCAGAGCTGGGGTTTGAACCCCGGACTTCCTGTTTTCAGAGATCCTATAAAGGATCTGGTTGGAGCATCCACAAAACGGTTTTTGGAACTCTCACGGAATCTTTCTGGCTGCAACCCTGTCTAACCACTTTCTTTTCACGTCAGCCTGGTGAGACAAGACAGGCTACAAAGTACTGTCATCTCTCTCCAAGTCGATTCTTGGAAAAGACTCTCACACTCATAGTGACCCTAGAGCTGTCCCTGAGGGTTTCAGTGGCTGCTAGTCTTGACAGGAGCAGAAAGCTACATCTTTCTCCCCTGGAGTGGCTGGTGGTTTTAACTACTGACCTTGAGATTAGCAGCCCAACCTGTAACCCACTACACCACCCTCTCCGGCTCCTGGGAATAACTTCCCAAGCACTTGACAAACAGAATGCAATTATCTTCAAATGGGGGCATGTGACATTGATAGCTACCAGTGATGTATTGTCATCACCATGATTGAAAAGTGAACACCCACTGGTTCCCTCTTCAAATCTCAGTTTGCAGCTATCCTAACTTCCTCCCTCAGCTCTGTGATTTGGGCCAGGCTGGGCAGGTTTGTTGTGGTGGTGTGGAAGCATTCATTCATTCCATATTACATGCTAAGCTCACCCCAGCTTTGAGAGCTTTCACCTTGCAGTTCCTTCTACCTAGAATGATCTTTGACTTTCCCCAGGGCTGGATCTGATCTCTCAAAGTTTAAAACCCACCTCCCCAGGGCATCCCTAGCACACCCCTCCCAGCCAATTGTCATCTCAACAACTTGCTTACTTTCATTCATAATATTTATTACTATCTAACATTTCCATTCATTTCTCCATTAATCTTAGGATTATCCGCCTCTCCCCATTGAATGCTATATACCCAAGTGAGCAGGGCTTTTTATTTGTCTTGCTCATAGCTGTGCCCCTGGTGCCCAGGGTGGGGCCTGGCATAGAGGAGGTGTCCAATAAATATTTTACTATAAAGACTCCTGCTTCATTTACACAAGCACGCGGTGACTTGCCAACTCAGAAGCCCTAACCCGGAGTTCCTCCTGTGTACTTGGCCTTGTGCTGGTGTTTGGAGGTCAGGAGAGGAATCTTCCGGGGACCCTGTCTCCCAAGAATGCTGGTGCCCAGTGCACAGTTAAGAGGGAAAGTGACTATGTGGATGACTGTGAATCCCACCCCATTCTGATCCACTAGGGGCCTTGTAGGCAGCGGCCGCTGGTCTCTGCTGACCCCTAGTCTTCGGTCCCCTTTGCCTTCCAGAAGGATCTGCCTCTGCCTCGGAAAAGCAGCAGGTGAGCCTTGGGGAGGATCGCGCGGGACTGGTCGTTCGTTCTCGGGCCCGAGGCCGGGCGCCCGGTGCGCGCCGGCGCACCGCAGCGCCCCCTCTCGGTGGGCGCCTGCCGCAGGTCCCTCCCCTCTCCCGCCCTCCCCCGCCCGCTGCGGCTCCTTCCAGCCTCCGCCCCGCGCGCTAGCTCCCCGCGCTGCCGCCGCCGCTGCCGCTGCCGCTGCCGCACCTGCCACCATGTCGCCGCCGCCGGGTCATGTCTGACTCGCTCTGGACCGCGCTTTCCAATTTCTCGATGCCCTCCTTCCCCGGCGGCAGCATGTTCCGCCGCACCAAGAGGTAGCCCCTCGATCCCCAGACTCTGCCCCAGCTCTCCGCTCGAAGCGGCCCCACTGGCTGCTGCCGCAGGGCGGGGCCCTGGATGTTGCCCCCTGTCCAGCTGCGCCAGAGCTGCCCGCGCTGCGCCTTCCCGCCGAGGAGGGGGCTGCATGGGGGTCGGTGCGGGCCGAGGCTGGGGAGGGACTGCATGCTGGCAGAGATGGCCGCCGGGGAGGGGGCTATGCTGGGCGGGGAGGGGGCTGCGCCGGGTGCCTTTGTTTGCTGGCGCTGCGGGCTTTGCAGTCAGTTGGGGGTGGGGGAAGAAGGCGAGGGTGGGGGGCTTGGCACCCTGAGAACAATAGCCGCAGCCTGCCCCCCCCACCCCATACCGCGCGCGCGCCTGGACGCATTAATATGCTCAGTCACTGTGGCCAGGGCTAGGGGAGATGGAGGTCTGGGAGCTCCTTCTTAGAGAGGGGCGATCCTGAGGAACCGAAAGAAAAGGGGGTTGTTCATCATAACAAGACTCTCCCCTCAAGAAATACAGCCTCACAATGAAAGCAGAGATACACTGCATCCTGCAGGGCATGATGTCACACAGACACACACACACAGCCCTAGTGGCCCAAATACACCCAGGAGGCTGCGTGAACACCCAGGCAGCAGCCCAAGGCACAGCTGTGTACAGATACACAGGTGCACTGCCAGTGTCACACACAAGTACTACTATGTCAGGTACACCTAGGAAGATGTCACGCGCATAGCAATCCACCACACATATGATTATGGCATCCAAGCGACACACATGTGTCTAGACATACATGTGCTGGAGGCACCTGCATGCATCCAACACACAATAACCTGCTCAGGCATGTCACATGTTGTAGGGATGCCATGATAAACGAGCACAGGAAATCTGACCGAGATGAAGGCACACCCTCAAATCACACATAGCACATGCAAATGTCCCCAGGGGATGTCACACAGAGTGACCCCGCCTGGCCTGTGGATGCACACAGCACACATCATACCCAGATACTAGGAGGTTCCCTCTCACACAAAGACAAATGTGTAGCTGAGTGGCACCCCTCGACAAGGACAAGGGACATTACACCATGTGTTACATAGACACTCAAAGGCCGGGATGTGTCACACCAGATAAACCCAGCCACTGTCACTGATGATGACTCATTAGGACATATCCTGAGTTACAGTGTTGAGCTCACATAGTGGATGTCATACCGAGAGCCCAGGACGCACGCACGGACATTTGGCTCACCGATGGTGTCACGTACATCACCACTCCTGATACACTGCTTCCATCTACGATCCTCACAGCAAATCTCGAACGTACACCTCAGACAAGCATCGCACACACACAATCAGACTTCCATGGTCGCCTCCTCCAAGCAGTCCTCTAAGTGCCTCCAACACACGGGTGGGGGATAGGGTGGGGATCTGAGCGCCTGGCTGGTCTCACGGGGTTCATGGGACTATGACCCGGGCCTGCTCTCCCTACCTCACCTCCCCCGCAGCTGCCGCACCAGTAATCGGAAAAGCCTCATTTTGACCAGCACTTCACCCACGCTGCCACGGCCCCACTCGCCACTGCCTGGCCACCTGGGTGAGACGGGTGGTAGGGCTTAGTTTGTGTGGGCTAGAGGAGGGGGATGTGGCCATGGCGCAGGGGCGGGTAGGGGGGAGGTGAGTGTCTGAGTGAAACGTCTCTGAACACTAGAGGAGCTGGCTGGGACAAGGGGCGGGGCCACCCGGGTGGGGGCGTGACCAGCGCGTAGATGAACCCACATTGGTCGGAGGAAGGCTGGGCCTTGCAGGATTGGAAATGGGATAGGGCAGAAAAAGCAGGAGCCGCGTCTGAGGGGCGGGGTCAGATGGAAGGGGCTGGGCTTATTTGGGAGTGAAAAAATCGGAGAGGCGGAGTCATAGGTAGGGGCGTGGTCAACTTCATACGTGGGCGGATCTCGACAAAAAAGGGGGGGGGACGGCTGCCAAGTGCAACCACTTTTAGGGCTTAGGAGGCTGGATGGGGTTGCATTCCCCGCACACACACCACGCCTAAAGCGCTCCTTCCTTCCGCCACAGGTAGCAGTCCCCTGGACAGCCCCCGCAACTTCTCCCCCAACACCCCCGCCCACTTCTCATTCGCCTCTTCCCGAAGGTGAGTCCTGTCCTCCGCAGGCCCAGAACCCCAGCCCAGAGGCTCCCGACCCACCGTATGGGCCGCCATCTGTTCGTCCTCCTAATTCCACCCGTACTGGGGCCTAAGGGTACCCCCAGATTGCTCCAAATTCCCAGCAGGGAGGGGCGTCCAGCCTCAGAGGCGGGGCCCAGCAGAAGGCAGGATCAATCTAGCGGGAATCGGAAAGGGACGGAGTCTCTTTTGCAATGGAGCCCTGGCGCCTGCGCTCACGTGGCCAGGGTCTCAAGACTCCGGAGCCTTCGGCTAAAGGGGCCGGGTGTTTCCATAGCAACAGGGCCGGCGAGCCGAGAGGAGATGCGCAAGCGCAGACTGTGTGGCGCCCATCGAGAGACTTGGGTCCCTGAGGTGGGGGAGGACAGCGACTATGGCTCTCTCTCCCAAGTCCCAGGAGGAGATATCAGCTTTCCCGCGGGGGTGGGGTGGGGTGTCTCAGAGTTCCCCTAAAAGCATGACCTATAGTGGAGTTGGGGCGGCTGAGAGCTCCCCCCTCCCGATGGTTTTGGAGAAACTTTCTGGGTATCACTAGGAAATCGAGAGGGTTTTCAGTGGGCATGTAGGGTGAACTATACCCCTTTCCTATCCCTCCGAGCTGAGTGGGGGAGACAGGTCAGGGACTGGGGAGCATGGCACAGGGTGATGTGGGCGTCACAGGGGGCTGTGGGGCACAAAAGGCAGCAGCTCCTGTTGGCGGGAGAGACACGAATTCCCTGAGGGCCACAGGGAGTCCATTAAACCTGCATTTGAAAAGGAACGGGGCATGGGGGGGGGCGTTGGGGGTGGGTGGGTAGACAAGTGCTTCCTAGTGCAAGGTGATGGCTTCCAGACTAACTGGTGGTAGTGCTTAGGGCGCAGAGAAGTGAGTCTGTGTCCGCGTGGGTGTGCAGATTCTATGCGGTTGTAAATGTACCGGAGAGCGCTTGCGTGTGTGGGCTTGCGTGTGAGCGAGACCGTGGGTGAGCGTGTCTATGAAGTTGTAAATGTGTGTGAGTACGTGAGGGAGGATGTGCTGAGTGCAGTTTGCGCATGTGTGAGTGGTGTAAGTCTGTGAGAGTGAGTGAGGGTGAACGAGTGTGTGTGTGAGAGAGTTTGAACGAGTGAATGCATGACTGTCCTGGATGTGCCCATGCATGACCACGCATCCCAGTGTGAGGATGTGGGTCTCTAAGCATACTGTACATTCGGAATGTCTGGGGTGTGAGTGTGGGTGTGTGAAGTGTGAATGTGTCTAGCTGTGAATGTGTATGACTTCCAGTGCGTGGCCACGCTAGTAGTCAAAATAATCCTATATGTGCCTGTGAGGTAAATGGGACTGTGAGTGCATAGACGTGTGAATGTGTGTGTGTGTGCATGCTTTTGTGTGGGTGTTATTCAGAGAGCCCATTCTCTTCTGAGAAGACCCCGGTAAGTCTGCCTCTGACAGGCTTCTCATGGGGGGTCCTCTAGGTATACTTTTGGGGTCTTGATGGGAAGACTTAGGATCCCCAGTGTCCTGTGCACTATGCAATGGGCTGCTCCTGGCAAGGTTGGTGGTTCAAGCCCACCAGCTGCTCTGAAGGAGAACAATGGGGCCATCTGTTCTCATACAGATTCACAGTTCTCCCATGTCCTTCCGGGTGGTCCTGAATGAACCTGATGAGGATGGATTGAGTATGGGAAGATGACCTTGGGTGGGCATTTCCAGTCTTCCTTGGAGCTTGCTCTGGGGGGCTTGTTTGGTGTCGGGCTGGCAGGAGAAGGGGGTCAGGAGGGACTGATCTTCCCACCATGTTTGGGGTGCCTTGACTGTCTCTTTAACCTCCTTAACTCTGAGGGGGTCAGAATCTTGGAGCAGCAGATAAGCCCCACTATTGCCCACCCTGGCTGTGGCCAGTGGAGATTGGCTGTGGCCAGGGGAGATGGGCAGTCTCTGAGCACCTTGACTGGGTTCCAGGGCGGACGGACGCCGTTGGTCTCTGGCCTCGCTCCCTTCTTCTGGCTATGGCACCAACACGCCCAGCTCCACCGTCTCGGTGAGTAGGACGTGCAGGAGGGTGGGGACGTTGGGGCAGACCTCCAGCTCACAGGCCCAGTCCCAAGCCAGCTAGCTTTAACCAGGACCTCGGGCTGCTTTCCTCCAAGGAGGTCCATCCGTCCACCTGTCCATCTACCAGCCAACTGCAGGTCCCTCTCAAAGCTGGTTGTCTGCCCTTGACATACCTTCTTTGGGGTCCTGCTCACCTCAGATTCCTCTTGCAGATGAGGATATGAGCACTCAGTGAGCTATGCTACTTGCCCAAGGGTCTGCCCAAGGGCCAGACCCAGGCCCTGCCTTTCACGCCCGTGATCTGGCCTGGATTCCAGTTACTTGACCCCTGCACCCCCAAGGTGTCTCCTTCCACCTGCCCCTTTTCTTGTCTTTGGTTCGTTCCTCCATCCGTTGGGACGTGGTTCAGCACAGTTATCACATGACTGTCATGGGGTGGATGGGCGCTCTGTGCTGGACCAAGGTCCAAGATTTCAGACAGGTCTTGCTCCTGAGGGAGGCAGCCCGGTAAGAAATCATTCACAGTGACCGGGGTTGGAGCTATGATGGTGATGGCAGAGGGGAGGCACCTGGCATAGCTGGACAGTCACAGAAGGCTTCCTGGCACAGATGACACTGAAACCAAGACCACCAAAGGGGTCGGCAAGGGTTTGGGCAGAAGAAGGGGAGAGGGATGTTCCAGGAAGCATGTTCACACTCTCCCAGAGGCCACCAGGAACTTGACACAATTGGAAAGTTGAAAGCAACCTTGCGTCGCTGGAGCTTTGGGCTGCAGGGGGAGCAACGGAGATGATGCCGGCAGGGACTTGATGGTCAGGGTGCCAGTTACCAGGGCGTGTTGTATCCTCTGTGACCAATGGTGACCACGTGTGGCAAAGTAAAACGGTACTGTGTGGGGTCTTGGTGGCTGATTCAGCATGCCCTTATTCTGAGGAGCTGCTGCATAGACTCAAAACACCAACCTTTCCGTTAGCTGCCAGAAGGTGGGAGAGGCTGAGAAATGCTTTGTGGCTTTATATCCAGTGGTGTTAGCATTTTAGTCTGAATGAGGCCATGGGCATTAAAAAGGGGATTTGTTTGTCATCGATCCTGCTTGTGAGGAACGTTAAGCAGGCGTGGGGCATGTTTCACCGGATCATTCAGGCTGCCAGCACAATCGAGTGAAGGTCCTGTGTCTGTCCACCATGGGCCAATGGATCTATGCTTTGCTCCAGTTGTGAGCCAGACACCGACCAGCTACCAAGCCGAACCAAATCCCTACATTTGAAGCAATAACAGGAATAATCAAAATGTCACTCATCAAGGGAAATCTAGATCAGGGGAAAGGGAGACAGGTTAAGAGACAGAGCATTCATTACAGGGTGTGTTCCGGGGAGGCCTCCTGGAGGAGGTGACATTTAAGTCAAGAATTACAGAAGGCAGTATAATCCATAGCAGTTGGGTTCCCAGTAGAGCGGGCAGCCAGTGCGAAGGTCCACTGCAGCTGGAGTGGAACCAGTGACATGAAGAGGAGAGGGCAAGGTGGTGACAGGACAGAGCAGACAGGGGCCCATGGCTCCGGACAGAGAGGGACTTGACTCCGTTTTAGCAGGCCACACCCATGTTGGTGTCACTGTTCATGTCTGTTTATGTCTGTCATCTGGAGTCCCCTTTGGGCCCCTGGAGACCGAAGGGATCAGACCCACATCCTGGCCTTGCCCACTGAGGCCCCAGGCCAGGGTCCCCTCGTGGTGGGTGCACCCATAGCTCTCACTGGCCCCGCCCCTGCCGCCCGCAGTCTTCCTGCTCCTCCCAGGAGCGCCTGCACCAGCTGCCCTACCAGCCCACCGTGGACGAACTCCACTTCCTGTCCAAGCACTTCGGCAGCACTGAGAGCATCACCGACGAGGATGGCGGCCGCCGCTCCCCCGCCGTGCGGCCTCGCTCGCGGAGCCTCAGGTGGGCCAGCTCCCCCTGGGAGACCGCGGTCCCCATCCATCGAGCGGGCTTGGGGGACGGTTAGAGGCGGGGAGCGGACATAGTGGCCTTCTCTCCCCGCAGCCCCGGGCGATCGCCCTCCTCCTATGACAACGAGATCGTGATGATGAACCACGTGTACAAGGAGAGGTTCCCCAAGGTGAGGCGCGGCCGTGCGGTCCCGGCGCCCGCGCGCCCCCAGGCGGCGCGCGCCGGGACTCCCGCTGGCCTCCACCCCTCCCGCAGGCCACGGCGCAGATGGAGGAGAAGCTGCGGGACTTCGCCCGAGCCTACGAGCCCGACAGCGTGCTGCCGCTGGCCGACGGCGTGCTCAGCTTCATCCACCACCAGATCATCGAGCTGGCCCGAGACTGCCTGGCCAAGTCCCGCGACGGCCTCATCACCACCGTCTACTTCTATGAACTGCAGGAGAACCTGGAGAAGCTGCTGCAGGATGTGAGTGCTTCTCTCTGCGCCTCCACTCCAGGACCAGCCCGCACCCCCGGCTCCTTCACCCCAACACCCATTCACAGAGAGAGCGTGGAGCACGCGCCCGGAGTTGGAATGGCGCTCAGGACTCGGGGTGGACGAAGGACACGTGGACCCCACCCTGAGGGAGGGAGTCTGAGGGAGGAGGCGGGATTCCAACCTCCTTCTCCCGCCTTTCAAGTCTTGACCCAAAGAGTCTCTGCAGTGTGGGCTCATAATTTCCTCCCCACCCCACCCCCCATTTAAAATATTTCTCCCCACGTTCTCTATATTTTGCTCTTTAGCATTTGGCGTTGTCTAGGGGCGCTGAGGGTTAGATGCTAGGCGGCTAACCTGAGAATTGGTGGCTCAAACCCACTAGCTGCTAGGACTTAGAAAGATGAGTCTTTGTGCGCCCATCAAGATTCATAATCTCAGAAACCTCATATAGGGTCGCTATGAATCGGAATTGTACTGAGGGCAGTGGGTTTCACCTGCTTTGGTTCGTCACCTTGAATATATTTTTACTTATCTTGCTGGTCGCCCTGGTCCACCAGTGTCAAAAACATGCCCAGAGGAAGAAGATTTTATTTGTCTGCTAGGTCACTGGTGTTCAGTGCAGCACATAGTAGGTGCTGAAGAAACGCTAGGTGAATGGATGCAATGAATGGGGACAATGACCCCATACAAGGCAGGCATCATGGATTGCATACTATGTGCTGAGCACTCACACCACAGAGACAATAACCGAATCAGATTAAGTACTTGTCTGATGCCCACCTGCCTCCTCCCTCCCCCTGGCCCCCCACTGCCCATTATAGAGGGGGAGACAAGGAATTGAGTCATTTCAGCTGATGCTAGAGCTTTGAAGCAGATAGTGTGATGACAGCGTGTAAAGTCCAGGCGGCCTCCCTGGAGGAGGTGACCTTGAAATTGGGATAAGAATAATGAGGACACGTGGCAGCAAAGAGAGGAGCCAGGAGAAGTCTGCACCAAAAAGGAAAAAAAACGTGTGCAAAGGTCCTGAGGTAGGCAAGTGGGCTGGGACGTTCCGGGAACAGAGAAGCCATGTGGCTGGACCACTGTGAGGGGAAGAGATTGGAGAAGCCGTCGAACCAGAATATCGCACTCTGGGCTCCGGGCCTCACGTTGGTGTCAGTCCTGGGTTTGAGATCCCTGGAAGTTGAGCGCACAGACTCCAAACGGCTCAGATCTGCATCATTTATTTGCTGTGCTGCCTTTGCCAGGTCACCCTCTCCCGCTCATTCTTTAACTCCACAAAGGTTTCTTAGGCACCTACTAAGGAACCCTGAATAGGAGCCCTGGTGGTGGGGTGGTTATATAGTGTGCTGCTAACTGCAAGGTCAGTAGTTCGAAACCACAAACCGCTCCAAGGGAGAAAGATGGAGCTTTCTACTCCTGTGAAGAATTACAGTCTTAGAAACCCACAGGGCCAGTTCTACCCTGTCCTATCGGATTGTTAAGAGTTCATATCAACTTGATGGCACTGAAAGAGAGAGTGAAGGAACCCTGTTGGCATGGTGAGTTACACACTGGGCTGCTAATCACAAGGTTAGCAGTTCAAATCCACTAGCCACTTGGTGGGAGAAAGATGAGGCTTTGTGCTTCTGTAAAGACTTAAAGGCTCAGAAACCCACAGGGGCAGTTCCATTGCAGCCTAGCCAGAGGGTCAGTATAATCGAGAATCAACTGGATGGCTTGGGGATTTCTTATTTTGTGGACTCAGAACCGACCTAGAAAGTGAAGGACCCAGTGGCGAGAAAGCAAGCAACATCCTTGCCCCCACCCTCAACTACACACACACACACACACACACACTGCCCCGAAGGTTGTAGCAAGACAGAAGATAAACAGTAGGTTTCAGACCCAGGACTGGGTGTGGCCAGTGATTTTAACCAGAACACTTAGAGTAGTTGCAAAAATATCGAAAGTAGGTGTAATCACACCACTGCATTTTAAGCTTCTAAACTAACAGACACAGGATTTGTTCCCATTTTGCCTCCTGGCACGAATGGAAGCAAACCCATCCGTGCTGTGTTTCTTGAAACCATGAACAATCACAAAAACACATTCCAACACCCCGGCACAGCCCTCGGGACCTGCCTTAACATTTTTTATCTTGGGGGTCTCATGGCTTCAAAATTGTGAGTTTTGAAAAGGATTGCATTACTGTAGGGGTGTTCCTGATGGCCGTGGTTTTTGTGGCTCTCCCTAGTCTCACGTTGTCCCAGTCTTGAACGACATGCTGGGTCAATGACTACAGAGCGTGCAGACGGGGTGTCATGGGCTAGGAAAAAGAAAAGGTACAGGCAGGGATGGTGGTTGAGGTGGGCACCAGGAGGTGCCGTGCCATTGTAGGGTGGCCTGGTGGGGGCAAGGCAGGCTCCCCTAGGGAAGGCACATCGGAGCGGTGACCTGATGGAGGTGAGGAAGGGAGTCGTGGGGATCTGGGGACAGATCCTGCCAGGGAGAGAGCGTAGGACCGTGTTTTGTTTTTCGTAGGACTGTTTTGAAGATGGACTGGATGAGTTGATCTGTGGGAAGGGTTTAGGCCAGTGTGTGTTATCACAGCTCACTCAAGCCCAACCAGACTTCCTGCCAGCGTGTCAATTGTGTCTCATGTTGCTCAAACTGCCCCTGTGGGTTTCAGAGACTATAAATCTTTACAGGAACAGAAAGCCTCATCTTTCTTCCGCTGACAAGCTGGTGGTTTTGAACTGCTGATCTTATGGTTAGTAGCCCGACATGTAACCTCTTCCACCCCCAGGCTCCTGTATTATGATAATAGTCATTTTTGTACCTTGTGGCCCAGCCCTCACTTTTCTCATCTGTGAAATGGGACCGTGGCCGCAGTGGACACTGTGGGCTCAGGAGGGCAGCTTGACTGAGTCAGGGAGCCAGTGAATCCCCCTCCTCCTGTGCCCCCCTGTCCCAGGCCTACGAGCGCTCTGAGAGCTTGGAGGTGGCCTTCGTGACTCAGCTGGTGAAGAAGTTGCTTATTATCATCTCGCGCCCTGCGAGGCTGCTGGAGTGCCTGGTGAGGGGGCTGCGTATCGGGAAGGGGTGGCTGGCAGGGGCCTCCACAGAGTCTGCCCTGAGCCTGTCCCTTCCCTACCCCAGGAATTCAATCCTGAGGAGTTTTACCACCTGCTGGAGGCTGCCGAGGGCCATGCCAAGGAGGGACACCTTGTCAAGACGGACATCCCCCGCTATATCATCCGCCAGCTTGGCCTTACCCGGGACCCTTTCCCAGGTGCTGGCTGGTGGGTGAAGGGGGACTGTGGGAGGTGGTCCCACCTCCAGTCCCTAGCTCACGCTCAGTCCCTCCCTAGACGTGGTCCACCTGGAGGAGCAGGACAGCGGCGGCTCCAACACGCCCGAGCAGGACGACCTGTCTGAGGTAAGGCCCAGCGGTGTTCAACACTCTGGTGTCTGGGCACGGACTCCCACGCGGGCTCTGCCCCAAGACCATGTGGTCTTCCAGCCTGAGCTTCAGCTTCCCCGTCTTTAAAATGAGAATGAGATTCACACTAACTCTTCCTGCATGGACTTTTGAGAGAGAGAGAGAGAGAGAGTGTGTATGTGTGTGTGTGTGCGCGCGTGTGTGCGTGCGTGTTAAAATACACATCATGTGACAATGTATCCCTTTGTTTTCAAATGTCTCGTTTTAATGTGTGCAACTCAGTGGTGTTGAGTATATTCAAAGGATTGTACACGCAGCACCACGTTTTCATCCACAATGTTTTCATCACCCCCAAAAGGAGGCCCCATACCCTTTTAAGTAGGCACTCTCCACCCCTCTCCCGCCCCCGACAACCACAAATCCGTATGTGTGTGTCTCTGTGGATTTGTCCGTTGTAGATATTTCATAGAAATACTCATACATTGTGGAACTTTTGGGTGGCTGGCTTTTTTTTCTTTTCTTTTTTCCCACTGAGCAGAATGTGTTTGTGGTTCAGTCACATGGCAGCGTGTCGAAGATGCTCCTTCCTTTGCTACCTGAAGGACATTGTCTTCTATGAAAGTGTCACCTCTTGTCTGTCCCAGCATCTGTTGATGAATGAATGGGTTGTTTTTCCTTTGGATCGCTATGAACATTCACATACAAGTACTTGTCTATGTACTTGTTTTCAGCTCTTTGGGGTACATGCTTAGGAATGGAATTACTGGGTCCTATGATCGTTCTCTGTGTAACTTATGGAAGACCCCAGCACAGCCCTTTCGACTGATAACAGCTCAATCCCACCCCCAGCCTCACAGTACTGTGGTGACTCTTCCAGATACCTGGTGGAAACTACCCACCATAATGGTCACATGTGTGCTTTCCCCGCATGGCCTGGCACTTTTCAACAATTTGAGGCAAAATATTAAACTCAGAACGTTTTGCCACAATACCTCGGCTTTGAGCCTTTTATTCAGAAATCAATTTCTGTGATGGAATTGGTTGGCATTGTGTGGGGCTGCCTTGTGATATGAGGTAGCTGTTCTTCTAAGTCACCATGGCCCCTGCCGACCCTTCCGAGCCTCTGACGGCACTTGCGTTTATGACCCTTGTTGGTCATGCGTATGCACTCATATACAGATATTCGTACATCTTTTCTTCATATGTATAATTTAAAAGAGTCTCACGATATATGCTATTTGTTTAATTTTTTGAATAGGTAATGGAATGACATGACCCAAAAGTCTAAAACTCTAAAAAGGTATTTATCTCTAATTGTTGTTTACAGGACTCTATGTAATTCGATTCGATCAAACTTGTTAATTGAGTGAATCAAATCTTCCTTATTCTTATTCCATTTTCTCCCCTTGATTAATCTAATAGTTTCTGAGAAATATGGATTAAATTCTTCCCTTGTAACTCTGTTCATATTTCCGTGCCAGATTTCTTTAGGCTACATGCTTAGGTGCATACAAGTTGGATATTTTTGTATCTTCTAGATAGATTGTGTGTGTGTTTATGTGCGTGTAATCCTTATGTTGTTGTCCCTGGGTAGAAAAAATGGTTAAGTCTACTCCTGAAAGAAATGCTGACAGTTTGAGCTTACCCAGAGACCCCTTGGAACACAGGCTTGGCCATCTGATACTGAAAGGTCGTTGTCTTGGAAACTCCATCAAGCAGTTCTGTTCCTGGGGTCATCATGAGTCTAAATCAACTCAATGGCAACTAACAATAACAATAGTTATGTAATAAATCTCTCCGTCTCTAATAAAAATAATTTTCAAAAAAGAGATACAGTGAAAAATCTCACTCCCGTCTTCATCCCCCACTGCCCTATAGCTCCCAAATCTGTTTAGATAGTACTGTTTGCCATTTGTATACAAAGGGTAGCGCACTGTAATACTGTCCTTTAGATTTTTTTTCTCTTTCATAAAATATGTTGGGGACTTTTCCGAACGCGTGAGCAGAAAGATTACACATCTCTATTTGCCAGCAGCACAGTATTCCTTGATACAGACGCCCACCATGCTTTTAACCAGTTTCCTGTTGATGAACTCATGATTATTTTCAGTTCTATAGTGAGCAAAGTCATACGTATGCCATTGTTCACATGTGTAAACATTTCCGTATCATGAATTCAGAAGTGGAATGGCTGGGCCAAATATGACATAATTCTGATATATAGGCTGTACCAATGTCCACTTCCAACAGCAAGGCATAAAATGCCCTGTTTCCTCAAACCGTTGCCCAAAGAGTAAGTCAGCCTTTTTGATTTTGATGTCCACCCTTAACGTGGGAAATGGTGTCTAGGAGTAGTTTTTAAATTGCTTCTCTGTCATCTAGGAGCCTTCGGGGGCATAGTGGCTACTCATTGAGCTGCAATCGCAAGGTCAGCAGTTCAAAACCAGTGGCAGAAAGACCAGGCTTTCTACTCCTGTAAAGCGTTATCGCCCTGGAAACTCCCTCAAGCAGGTCTACTCTGTCCTGTCCAATAGGGTTGCTAGGCATCGGCATCTGCTTGATGGCCGCGAGTGATCTCTCCTCGGAGACGTCTAGCGGTTTTTCATATGCTCACATGCAGTATAGGAGCCCTGGGGGTGGGTGTAGTGGGTAATGCACGGGCTGTTAACTGCACGATCAGAGGTTTGAAACCACCAGCGGCTCCTGAGAAGACTTTCTACTCCCGTAAAGAGTTACAGTCCTGGAAACTCAGGGCCGTCCTACCCTGTCCTATAGGGCAGCTGTGCGTTGGCGTACACTTGAGGGCAGGGAGTTTGGCTTTCTGAAGAAGCGCCTTATAAATGAGAACTCTCATCTTTTGTCCATTTTTCCCCTCCTAAGCCAGTTTTGGTTCCTGAGAATTGTATTTACAGAGCATCGGGCATTTTCCATCTCGGGGGCTTCCCATCATCTTTCGTAATCAAATGATGACAGGACCATGGCTTCAGAGAGAAAGTCTTAATCCCAAGTCGTCTTTTAAAAAAATTGTTTTTTCAAACATGCTTGTAAGGTAGTCAAGAGGCGCCAGAGACCAAATCAGTCGATTTGAGCAAACAGGCTTTACTGGGGAGAAAAACCCAGCCTGGGCGCAGTCCCATGGTCCACAGTGTCTGGGCCGAGGGAGTCGCACTCCAGACTACAGGAGTGGTGTTTACATTGCCTGCCGGGGAACACGTGACTGGGTTGCCTTGAGTCCGTATAAGGTAAAGTAGTCAGGGATTGGGAGATACAGGTATGTCTGGGTTTCTGGAATGTAAGGTGTCTTCCTGGTTCCGGGTGTATTCGTGCTGGGTGCAGAGCGACGGGCCGAGAACAAAGCGGGCACTGAGCCAAACGGGCCGGGAGTGAAAGAAAGAAAAAAAAAACTTGCGAAGCTGCTTTACATAGCCAGCTCTGGTCAGCTCGACAGGTGTGTGGGGGAGATTCAAGGCCACTTGCTGCCAGCTGTTTCAGCCAGCTCTGGTCAGCTCCGCATGGGTGGGGGAGATTCAGGGTCACTTGCTGCTAGAAGCCCGCCTGGTATTGATCCAGCCATACAATGCTATTGGGGACTTGTACAACTCTGATCACAATCCATACATACATCTATTGTATGTCAAGCATATTTGTACATCTGTTGCCCTCATCATTCTCAAAACATTTGCTTTCCACCTGAGCCCCTGGTATCAGCTCCTCATTTTTTCCCCTCCCTCCCCCTTCCTCATGAGCCCCTGATAATTTATTAGTTATTATTATTTTGTCATATCTTACACTGTCTGATGTCTCCCTTCACCCACTTTTCTGTTGTCCGTCCCCCAGGGGGGGTGTTACATGTTGATCCTTATAATTGATTGGGCCCAAGTGTTGATGTTGAATTCCTTCACTGTGGCACTTGGAGAAAGGACCCACCCTTCCTGTACCTCAGTCGCCCCATGCGTAAAATGGAATGATGAGAGTCTCAATGGCTCCATCATCATCATCATGGTCTCCATCTCCCCCCTCCAGGGTCGTAGCACCACCGCCAAGGCCAAGAAACCTCCTGGGGAGAATGACTTTGAGACCATCAAACTCATAAGCAACGGTGCCTACGGGTGAGCCACCCGGGGCTCTGGCAGGGGGCGGGTGGCGGAGTCTGGGTGTCTCGGAGGTGACAGCCGGTCCCCGCTCCCTCCCCCTGCAGTGCTGTCTACCTCGTGAGGCACCGTGACACACGGCAGCGTTTTGCCATGAAGAAGATCAACAAGCAGAACTTGATTCTGCGCAATCAGATCCAGCAGGCTTTTGTGGAGCGCGACATCCTCACCTTCGCCGAGAACCCCTTCGTGGTCGGCATGTTCTGCTCCTTCGAGACCCGGCGCCACCTCTGCATGGTCATGGAATACGTGGAAGGTGTGGCTGCCCCCGAGGGTACAGGGGAGATTGGACGTGCACTCTGGCCAGGCCTGTTGGGTTGCCCGTCACCACTCATGTAGCCACATTTACTACCCACTCATATACTTATCAACCTGTAGATCTAACCACCCTTGGACCTGTTTATTTACCCAGCTATTGACTGTACTTTGATCCAAGTATATCGTCATCTAAGGACCCACCCTTTCATCCGCTCATTTGCTTAGCCTTCTCATCATTCATTCTTCATCCATACATTTGATTTAGCCAACAATTTAGCTCCATACATCTATTTTCATCTATCCATCTGTTCCTCCATATTCCCAACCATCTTTTTATAAACCTGCCCGTGCATTTATCCATCTAGTTACCATCTATCATTTTTCATCCATCTTTGTGTCTAGTCAGCCATCCTACACCAATCATATCCACATCTATATTTAGCCATCTGTGTACTCAGCCATCTCGTTTTCCATCCAACCATTCATCTGTCTGTTTTTCACCTTTTCCATCCGTGTTTATGTTCATCCACATATTAACCTGTCCATCAACCAAGCCCAGCTGTATTATGTTATGGTTATTAGAACATGCACATAATTTCATGGAGTGACAGTTAGGCCACCCGCTAGGCGTAGTCAGCTATCACTCAACAGATATCTCCTGTCATCTCCCTGATGCCACATGCTGGGCTAAGTGCTGGGGGCACAGCAGGGTCCCAGACAGACACACCTCTCCCTGACAGAGGTTACATTCCGTTACATTCCGTTCTGTGTAGACAGACAACAGACAAGCAAAAGGAGACAGGTTCATTTCATGGAGTGAATGCCCGTGAAGACCCTATGTCTTGAGAGGAGATGGTGATGCTGGGGATAAGGGGCTTTCCCACGCCTGGACCTTAGCAGGGATGGGAAACTTCAGTCTCTTAGGTTTCTGGTTTGGGGTGAGCATGAGAGCAGCCAATGGAGCTTGGAGCCAAGTGAGCAAGAGGGGGCGATGAGGGCAGAGATGACAGGAGAGCTTATGCAGCCCCAGCAGCCGCCAGAATTTCTTTCTGAGTGTAACAGGAAACCACGGGGAGCGTTTACGTTGAGTTGACCTAGTCCGATTTGCGTTTGTAGAATGTCCATTTGGCTGCTGTGGGGAGGATGGAGGGACAGCCAGGGACGACTGCACAAGTCAAGACGAATGATGATGGCGATGGAGGTGGAGAGCAGTGGGCAGAATCGGGGGGGGGGGGGCGAGCACACAGCACACACGGTTGTTACCTCCCAATGTCCCAGCCCCAGAGGACCATCTGGAAGACAACCCCACTTGGTTCTCAACATAATTCTTGGTGTCAGAATTTCCTGGGGCTGTGGTCAATACAGGAGCCCTGGCGTTGAAGTGATTATGTGTTAGGCTGCTAATTGCAAGGTCAACAGTTCCAAACCACCATCCACTGGGGTGGGGGTGGGGGGACCAGGGTTTTCTACTCCTGGTAATGAATTGCAGTCTTGGAAGCTCAAACGGGCAATTCTACCTTGTTCTATAGGGTTGCTGTGAGTCAGCATCGACTCCATGGCAGTGAGGGGTTTTGTTTTGTGTGAGTGTGCAAATACAAATTCCTTGGCCCTACTCAGTCTGATACCCAGCTAATTTGGCCAAGCAGGAAGCAGAGAGGGATGGGAGAAGAGCAAGAAGGAAGGGGAAGAAGGGGAACATTTGCACATATCGAAAAGAGAAAACAAAAGAAGACAGTGTCTTCAGGAATAGCTGTATCTAGGCGCCCAATGCGTGTCATCAGGAATCTACCTCCATCTCTTGCTCTGCCCTGCCAGGTGTAGGTGTCCCTCTTGATGCAGAAGGCTAATATCTAGCAGCATTCAACTTCCCTCTTACCTGTTTAATCATCCCTGTGGGAAAAGAACTTTTATGCTCCAAAAGTTCCAAGACAAATTCACTGGATCAGATTGGATTACTTGCTGACCCAGCCACTTATGTGGAAGAAAACCTGACCCTTTGTCAGATAAAAAGGAGCAGTGGATGTTGGTGAAGGAGCCCCAGTGGCGTAGTGAGTGTTGCATTGCGCCACGAACCACAAAGTCAAAACCACCAGTCGCTCCATGGGGAGAAAGAAGTTTTCTATTTCTGTAAAGTTACAGTCTCGGAAACCCAGTTCTATCCTGTCCTATAGGGTTGCTACGAGTCAGAATTGACTTGGGGGCAGTGAGTGTGGTTTGGATGTTGGTGAGGCTGCAGTACAGACGTGCCTGAGAGTCGCTCTGCTGGGAGCCAACCATCTATGTGTTAAGGCTTTTCAGTCATCAAGGATCAGACACCAGGAGGCCATGGGCTGTGCCCTTAGAGGCCGCTTTGATGCAGGCAGCGTGAGTCCTGACCAGGCTAGTGTTCAAACTCCACAGGCACCATCACTCTGAGCATGATCAACCACTGTCTGAGCCTCGGACTCCTGGGGTGCAAAGTGGGCCCATCACACCAACTTGGGAAGCTGGATCCGTGGTGGAGAAAAGCCCAGTAGAGGGCAATTCCCACGTGGCCTGGGGAGAGGGAGCCCCCCACGCTGAGCCTCAGGTTGTCCTATCTGTACTGTGAGAGTGAACGTGCTGCTCTGAGTGTGTCAAGTAGGAGCCCTCCTGGCGAAGTAGTTCCAAGCGGGGCTGTTGGCCACAAGGCCGGCTGTTTGAAACCCCAGCTGCTCTGGGGGAGAAAAACGAGTTACAGCCTGGGAAACCCACAGGGGCAGTTCTACGCAGTCCTAGGGGGGTCTCCATGAGTCGGAGCGGACTCTATGGCCAGGGGGTTGGGTTGTGTGTGGGGGATAGGGTGTCAAGTGCTCAGCTCTGGGGTTGGGGCTCCCCTCCTGTAGGCGGGGACTGCGCCACCTTGCTGAAGAACATCGGGGCGCTGCCGGTGGAAATGGCCCGCATGTACTTCGCGGAGACGGTGCTGGCGCTGGAGTACCTGCATAACTATGGCATCGTGCACCGCGACCTCAAGCCTGACAAGTGAGTCCGCCTTTTTCCAGCCCTCCCTCCCCAGACATGGAAGGCCGAGGGCGAAAGCTGGGCCTCATTGTTGAGCCGCCCACCTGTGCCTGCAGCCTCCTCATCACCTCCATGGGTCACGTCAAGCTGACTGATTTCGGCCTATCTAAGATGGGCCTCATGAGCCTCACTACCAACCTGTACGAGGGCCACATCGAGAAGGATGCCCGGGAGTTCCTGGATAAACAGGTGTGTGTGTGGGGGCCATTGGGGGGCTCTCTGGGTGGAATGATCCCGAAGGACTGGGGGAGCTAAGGGCCTTGTCGGGGGCACGGCACCCCCTCGAGGCCCCTCCCATGGCCAGGGCGCAGGCTGACCGCCTGCCCCCAGGTGTGCGGGACCCCAGAGTACATCGCCCCGGAGGTTATCCTGCGCCAGGGCTACGGCAAGCCGGTGGACTGGTGGGCCATGGGCATCATCCTCTACGAATTCCTGGTGGGCTGCGTGCCCTTCTTTGGGGATACCCCCGAAGAACTCTTTGGACAAGTCATCAGCGGTGCGTGCCTCGTGCCTCGGTGGGGACTG